TAAGCAGTTTTGAACAAACTTCGATGTTGATATGTACACAATTGAGAACCACATGCGGAAATCTTGTTGATGTAGCAAGCTCTTATCGATGAAGCGCATCGTGACAGTCGTCATCCATGATACTGTCGATGCATTTCTAGAATCCTCGCAAACGTGAACGAAGGAAGTTTCCCTGATGAAGAACGACCGACGGTGGAGCGCGATTTCGACAAATTCTACAATCGAGTCGATTAGTTATGCGTGTGACAAAAAACATGAACGATTCGCATCGCGGCTTGACGGATGCACGACATCGGCCGCGCGACGAAAAGAATAGCAACCGGCTTTAGGGTGGCTCTGTTTGGACTATCCGTTGCTCGGCGACGTTAGATTGATTCGCAGTCGAGGCGTTTGCATAAAGTTTCCGCAAGAAGAACCTTTCCCGCGGACAAATGGACTATGCAATCTGACGCGGATATGCAACCCGATCGAAATAGATAATATAAGGAAGGTTGCTTGGGAAGTTGTAAACATTTTTAATGAAAAAACGCTTTTTCCATAAAAAGGAAATTCTTAAGGCTATGCGTTTAGATGAATTAGATATTCATTGAATAAACGCCACGGTCGATTTATTCGGCAAAATGTGCGAAAGCACTACATTAAGCTAATATCAGTTTACGCGATCGAATTATGTAGTCGAAACCATGAAATACGGTCGAGTAGCAATATTAATGAAGTTAACTACCCGAAATTGACGTATTGTTTGACCGGTCATTACTGAGAACCCCAACAAACCCGTTATCGAGCTGTTTTGCATGATTGACTTGATATTATACTTGATACGTATTGCACCATTAGCGGTTCCCAGTGGATTTCCAATCTAATAAACTTCAGCAAATGTCAAACAAACTGCGAATCGGTTTTTTATTTAAACTGATATAGTGTTGCCTTTAACATATTTTTTCTAGTTTGATTTAGTTCTCTCATTTTATTTTAAATTTATCTATTGCTTTATTATCGCATTTTATCTCTTCAATTTAATCTAATCTTATATACGATCTAGTTAAATAACTTTCATGATGTAATGCGATATTTTAATCTCATCTTATGTACGATCTAGTTAAATAACTTTCATGACGTAATGCAATATTTTGCAATTACGAGAGATATGAACTCGGGATATTATCGAATAAAACGACGCATTTTATCACAAGACGTAAAAATTGACTTTTATTATAAAATAAATAAAAGTGGTGCTGCCGGAAGACGAATAGAGGGGACAGGAAGAGATGGCCGCAGAGTGATGTCGTATTCTCTTTTTCAATAAGCCGCACAGAATTTCGATGTTGACAGAATGAGATGGAGAATGGGAGCACGAAAGGACCTGATTGTTCGTCGATGTTCGTACGATGCGTGTCATATGTAGCGTCAAGGTAAAACGAAAAAAAGATGAGGGAGTAACGGCGGAGGGGTGGCTTTTTTCAAGTTTCTGATTGCCTGGTCTTTGTGGGAACGGTCCTCGGGAGTGGCCCAAGACAATGGCGGGTATCCTGAGGCAGTCGAATTCCATTTCGATCTGCCAATATAGGCAATATATATATTGCAATTTTGCAACGATATTCCTCCGTGATTCTCGATCCTCGGACCGGAGATCCTCGACCCTTCCAAGGCCGAACATCCATAATCCTCGGCGAGCGATCTCGCGCGGAATCGAAACGCCTCGCCAGATGAGACAGAAGTGTGGCTCTTGGCAGAGGCTTTGCTCGTTGTCTCGTTCACCAATCGTGGTGGTCGCTGATTCGCTGCCTCATATCAGCCTCAGGATAACGCGCTCGGCGTGGACCACTCCGGACCAGCGGATCTGCTGGTTCAGGTCAGGGGATCTAGTAGCCGTGTCCGTGGCCGTGGACAGCCACGTTGACGATGCTGGGCTCGTAATGCGGCGCCGGGATGAGATGATCGACTCCCACCAAGTGTGGATGCCCTACATGCGGGCCAGAGTAGTGAAGGCGGGTGGTGTGGTCGTTACCGTGGAGGGCGAGCGGGGCGGCATGGGGGGCCGGGATGGCGGGCTGGCCAGCGATGTGGATGTGCTGCGCTAAGTGCCCCTAAACATAAAAGAAGATATGGCGTTTTAGTATAATTAACGAAATATTTAATCTCACTTGTCCGAGTGGTCCGTTACGTAATTGAATCGATCGGAAAATCTAAATCTCAAAAAAATAATGATTTCTCCAGGGAACATAGTCCCTCATTACGAAATCGCTCCATCGCGGGTGAATGCAAAAGAGTTTAGAATGGTTGGGCAACTACAAATGGGGACTTTGAAACGAAAATTGCACAAATAAGCGCGGTCAATTTGATGCAATTGCAGCTGGGTTTTGACACGGAGATAATGGGCTTAATTAAGTAGAAAATCCAATGATAAACTAATAATTAGATATTGATACTGTCCAGCTGTTGCTTTGCGCTTAATTATCTCGAAATATCTCCGCTAATTTTACTAATTGACAATATAATTTTAATTTTTTGTTAAAAATAGTTATATTATGACTGTTTTTGAATAATTATAATATATAAATTATACATTCTTTAGAATACATTATTAATACGCAATTTGTAATTTATAAACGTGCACTAACTTGGAGAATTTGACAAAAGAAAATAAATTATAAAGATTCCAAACATGATAGAAAAATTTCGAAAGTGTTGTGACTTTTTAAAATAATAATTCTGAAATACTTACAGCGCTGGCAACAGCCACGATGGCGAACAAGACAATCTGCAATAAAAGAACGTTATTTAGTACGAAAAAAAATATATTTAGAATCTTGAACTTTTTAGTATAAATTCTAGCAAAAAAGAATGGAGCTTATATAATATGATTACCAAATAAATGGAAACTTAGAAAAACGCAAGTAAAATAAAATATATGACATATAAGTGTAATGTTATAAATATCAAATAAGAGATATAAACAATTTTTAAAATACATTAAATAAAACAAAGTTATTTATAAATAATTAAACATATACTATATAAATATACAAGGCTTAATATTTTCCTCTATGCCTACAATTTTGCATGTAGATAAAAGCATATAAGATGAAAATAAAAATGATATGATAAATCGACGTGGCGAAATCGCGAGTGAAGGGAAAAACTTACGAAGAACTTCATGATGGCGAGCGGTGGTTTTTCTTGTGTGTTATGCGAACAAACACTATGTCTTCAAGGGGCGACGCGGTATGCTTTTATAGCAGGTCCCTGCCCAAGTCCAGGCCCACTCTCAGGGCGTCAGGCGGGGGCACGACGTTGCACGTCACACGGACCCCTTTCACTAACCACGCGACCGACACCCTTTCGGGCCCCCTTGTTAGGTGCCCGCCCAACCGCGACGTCACGCCTTGTCACGCTTCCGATATTTTCGATATCAACGACAGCATCACCCTTAAAGATGCTGAAGATCGTGAGATGCGACCCCCCCCCCTCCCAAAGAAACAAATGTCGTTAATCTGATTCATTACAGTAATCAGTGAGCGTGAATGTAAATGTGAAGTAAAATATGCTTTGCTTGAATATACAAAGAATGGCGTGTTAAATCGCGATGCTAAATTACAATGATTAAATCGATCAATGATTCACGCAATCGCTGCGATTTTTTTCTTTAAGGAACTACAGCGTTTCGTAAGATTCCGTAGAAGATTCGATCTACGCTGGTTGAACTGACTTATCTATTTATATAAAATAGTAACACGGTTTAAATTTTAAATTGATTTTACATTAGTTCTATATTAATTTTAATCTAATTCTGATTATAAAATTTACTTATCCTCTGTCTAATTTTAATGAAATTTCGTGAGGAAATAAGGATGTTGCGCTCTATTATATGATTTGCGTTATTATTATTTTTGTTTTGCGTATTATGTATGTTCTGTAGAATTGTTGTTAATACTGTATATTACATATTTTATTACACAATTACAGCCTACGGCATAATGTCTATACAGGCATAAAATTTAAGACATATATAAATATTAAGATATATATATAAATTTATTACATTTAATTTCATTTATTATACCAATATTTTAACTGTAATGTTTTAACTGTAGTTTAGCTTTCATTTTTCTGATTCTCTAGTTCTACTTAAGCAGCATTTACACATATGTACGACTTAATTAATAATTTATTTAATAATGCAAGAATCGGGAATAAATCTGAAATTTCGAGGAACGGCAAATGGTATAATGTTCTTCTAGAGAGATAAACTTTTACTACACTGGCACATACCCGGTACTTTTGCTACATTGGCGCATGCCCGGTAAAATTGTTATCGTTTTTTTATATTTGTTATAATAAAATCTACAAATCGAAATATATATAGAAATTAATATCAAATTTATATACTTTATATAATGGCAGCTACTAATACAATAATTTTATTACTCTCTACCTGGCATTAACACGGGCTATTATTGAGCATTAAATATTGCTTTGCTGGATTTTTTGCTGTTATAATAAATTTTTTTACTAATAATTTAATTAAATGGTAATTAAATCTGTTTGCAAAATGGCCTAGTTTATACAAACGGTACAAGCGAACTTTCACAGGCTTTTAAATCCAACCTCGTCGCAGCATGTTGACTAGTAAACAAATGTCGTTACTCTGTTACACTTGACTGATCTTGGAGACTTTGAGAATGCGGTTCGGAAAAAGCTGAGAGGAAAATTGTAGAACGGTGTAGCACGTGTACTCATTTAATAATTGCGCAATTTATTATTTTGCATACGTTCTATACGTAATCATTCCGGAATTTATTTCTCTCGATCGAGCTATCATAACTAATCGTTATTACTCCTTTCGAGAGTAAAAGAAAAAATAAAAAAAAAAACGAAAAATCGTTACTACTCCTTTCGAGAATAAAAGAAAAAATGAATTAAAAAAAAAACAATTAAAAGTAAGCATAAAAATATTTAAAAAACGAGGGTAGAGAACGGAGGAAAGAAAAACAACGCAATTTCTGGTTTATCACAAGACGTATACAAATCAACTTTTATTAGAAAATAAATAAAAGTGTTGCGGACAGTGAAGAGAAATAGGACGGGATCCGAGAAATGGGGGGGAAGGGAAAACGCTCTCTCTGATGTTGCAGTGATGTCTTCTTCAATATCACATTGCCGCACGAGAATTTCGGTGGTTGGGAAAAACGGAGAAACAGAAAAAGACGCGGGTGTTCGTGTCTATGTGTATTCGTATAAGTGTCATATGTAGCTTTAAAATAAAATCAAGATGAGTTTTTTTATTCTTGAGTTTGGCTGCCAGGTCTGCGATCCAGTGAGTGGTCCACGATTTTCCGTCTCTTCTGAGGCTCTCAAAATTCCTCGGAGATGCTGATTTTGACGATCGTCGTCATCGATGGATCCTTGGCCTTATATTTGTCTCAATTGAAGTTATTTAGATTCCCGAAAAACCAGATGTATCGTCGACGAAGTTGTCTGCTGTCAATGCTGTCATTATTATGATTGATAAGATTCGGGATGACTGCCATTTCGGTATGAACCACTTTGGACCAACGGGTTTAATCGAGGAGCATCGTTAGACGGGGGGGTTCTTAGGCCCAGCCGTGTCCATGAGTCTTCACGACGGAGATCGCGGGTTCCGGGGCGGGTACGTAATGCTCGACGCCGACGAGATGTGGATGCGGAATATGGGGACCGCTGTAATGTAGTCTAGTGACGTGGTCGTTTCCCTTGATATGCAGGGGACCCGGATGTGGGGGTGGAATGGCGGGCTGCTGGGGAATGTAATGCGCGTGGTAGACTTGCTGTAAATAATAATAAAATAATATTAACATTATGTCTAGAATAATTATTAGACACTTTTTAAATGCTGCTTTTGTGTAAGTGTGAGGATAGTTACGCAATTGATAAAAAACAGAGAAAATAAATCATATTAAATAATTAAAAAATAATATATAGATAATGTATATAATAAAATTAAAAATTAAAAATAAATGTTATATATTGATGTTATAGGTACATGAATTACAAATTATGCAAGAATATTCATCTATATTAATTTCGCAATAAAATGCGATCACAGTGCGTAAAGTATTGACTATGAAATTATTTTACAAAACAATATTACAAAATCAATTGAAAGCAATTTGGACTCAGTAACATTAATAATAATTTATCGTAAAAATTAAGATAATAAATTAATTTTGATTATTAAAATTAATTGTTAATAATTAATTTAATTTCAAGAAACTTGTACAGAAATAAAATATGAGAAATTTTTTAATTAAAAAATTTGTTATATATTTATATGTTTATATGTTGTGTTTTTTTGTTGTTGTATGATAGAATTATAATAACGTAAAGATAATCAATAATTATCAAAAAAAAATTCAGAAAATTGTGTAAGAGAATATTTATTTTTCCTTATAAATAAAATGTCAGTTTTAACATTACTACCAGATTTCTGAGCAGTTGTGAAAACGAACCAAACAAAGGTAATCCAAGCTGTTTATCATTAATTATGCAACAAGGAGTTGGAGGCGGAACAAACGTTACGTAAACGAGTTGCACCGATTATTTCGGTGCAATTGAGCCGGGTTTCGTCACGGCCCCTTTATAGGTCTCCGATTAAGTAGGAAATCCAATTAATTTGCTATCGCGGACACCTATTCCGTTGCCGGTTCAGCTGCAGCGTAAAGCAAGAAAGACACGTAACTGCTGATCAGATCTAGTAACGTAATATAACATTAGAAATCGACTGGCCATTAAACGGAAGGAAAGGCGCAATCAACGACATGAAGTAACAGTTTCTGCTCGGTTTCCCGTTTGGACATTTTCCGAAAACCGTTATTATTTATCTATCGTCTGTAATTTATGTAATTATGGTAATACTATCATCTTAGATATCTTAAGCCACACATCGCGCAAGATATAATATACCTATATTAATGTCTCATTCTCTAGCGAATATTTTTCGATTTCTATCACGCGATAAACTGTAATTAGCATTTATTAACTTATTTATTGTTTCAGTTTGTCTTGAATTCACAGAACCGAACCGAAGTATATCCTGTTTACTTAGCTTAATGTCAAATGTTAAATGTTTCTAATTCTGAATACTTCAGTGATATTTCTCTACCATCATCACCGTAGCGACTTTAATTTTAACACTTTCCGTTATCTTATAGCGCGTTACCTTCATCACGCAATGAATTATCTAGTCGAGTTGTTTGCCAGCTCTGCCAAAGTCACAGAGAGACGATTAAATATCCATCGTGTAATATAATCGACCTCCCTCAGTGACAGTTCTGTACCACTATTACCTTGGCGTGCGCTACAGGAGCAGCGACCTTGAGGTATTTCGGCACAGGCGCGACCCAGGGCTGGGGCGCGTGCACCACCGGTGCGGCATGCACCACTGGAGAACCGTGCACCACAGGAGCCAGCCAGGGCTGCGCGATCTGAGGTGCGTCAAACAGTCGTTTTTCACATGATCGGAATCGATCGCTTTGGTAACACGGGTGTTACGTGAAGTTACTTTCCCGCCGAGTACGTCCAAAGTTACTCGGTCGCCGGAAGAGAAATAGAACGAGCCTTCGTAATCCGCATGACGTTGATCAATCAGCAATGGTGTTTTAAGAAATGAGGAGTTATCACAAGTCGAGAGAATATAGAATTGCGAAGAATAAAATGAGAATAGTGATTGATGTAGAAACATCCACGAAGACGAGAAGAAAGATTGAAGTAGGCTTTGTTACTGGATGTAATTGTTGTATAAATTTATCGATCAGTAGATTAAAACTTATACAGAGAAACACAAGAAGTTCAAGTACCTGTCGAAGTATCAGAATATAAAAAGTGCAGTTAAAGGCGAAATACATATCAATCATGCTTGATAAACGACGATGAACAACGACTTACTTTTAAAAGATTAATTTGCGAATTGAAAGATTTTTTAAAAACCGAGAAGTCTTTCCCTTAAAAATAGATGAAGAAGAAATGGTGATTATATATAGACGGATACCTTATTAAAGTGCGTTTCCTCGTCGAAATTCGAGTCGCTCGAATATCACTTGAATAACGAGGTATGTTAATTATTTAAAAAGACAGAAACGTCGAGAGTCACTAAAAATTAATAATAAGAATGGAATAATTAAAGTTTGATTAATCACAAAAGTGAAATCCAGAGAAGTGGTAGTAACGTTAACAGGCAATTTACATTGTTACAATAAAATTAGTATTACTACACGTTTGCGTACACGCATTCAAAGAGAAATAATAATATAAATTAATATTTATGTAAATATAAGCTTCTTTAAATGATGATTATAAAGTACTTGCCTCGTATCCAGCGCTGACGGCAGCCACAATGGCGAACAAAACAATCTGCAATCATACAATAATATAATGCAGTGTAATTGTAATGCATATAATAATAGTATGTATAATAATGTAAGATATATATATATATAATATATATATATATATATATATTAACAATATGTTCAAAATATATTTAATCCTTGTGTCGTGATACAATAGAAACTACAGAAAACTAATACATTTAATTGTATATTTTAATCAATTGAAATATGCAATTAAACATAATTATTAACAGCTTAAATTAAGATACACATAATAATTAAATAACTAATTAATAATATAATTAAATATTATTTATATATATTTAATTAATAGATATCTTATGTATTTTATATAAATTATACATATAAATCAAATTAATACTTTTTATTTAATTTTTTACGTTAATGTATATAATAAGATATCTAAATTACAATTTTAGAATATAAAATAAATTAGTTGCAATATTTACTTATATAAATTTTATATAAATAAATATTTATTTATATATTTAACATTTATAAATATAATATAAAACAAATATAACAGATAGACAAATGCAAAACTTGCGCGACACCGTGCGACAGAATCCCCAAGATCAATTGCAGGGGGATTATTCTCGGGCAACACAACGATTAACTTTTACTTCCTCGTGTTATACTTGCGAGGAGAAACTTACGAAGAACTTCATGGTGTGTGATGACAGTTTTTCTTGTGCGCTACGCGAGAAAACACTACGTGTTCGAGGGGCGACGCAGTATGCTTTTATAGCTGAGCCCTGCCCAGGCCCAGGGGGGCCCAGGGATGAGGCGGGGGCACGATTGCACTGCTTCGGATGCGGACCCCTTTCACCAATAGCGCGACCCTTTCAGATCCCTTATTGGGAGCTTGATTCCAGTCAATCACGATGCCTGGCTTCCGGTACCAAGTCGACACCCTTGAAGATTTTTAAGGATCATGGACCATCGAAAGGGGGCACTCCAGATGAAATCCGCTTGTCGTTAATTTGATTCATAGAAAAAGCAGGTCGCTCGAATGAAGAACACAGGTTAGTTTACGATGCAAGATAAGATCTATAATTTGCAAAATCTGAAATAAATATTTTTTAATTTTAAGGATTTATTCTATTTCGTAAGATTACGTGGGAAAGTAGATTTATATAAAGCTAAATTATTGCGTTTCGCAAGATTGAATGGGCAAATAGATACATACGTACAAAACTAAAGGAAAGTAGAACTGGACTGTATACTCACCGCGTGACTTCACTTTATAATTTTTTTAAATGATCGTAAAGTTAAAAGGAAAAAAATTTTTATTCGAAATCAGAAAGTTTACAGTCGTGAATATCTAGAACTGTTGCTACTGATTGTGAGTTACCGCATGTCACCGTAAATGACTACAATACTTTAGTCTGTCTTCTACTGTGTTTCCAACGTTAGACATTGTCTATTCCAAAACAAATCACCTTGTACGAACGAATTGCACAACTTTGACAAACGGCACCATATCATGCTCACAATCGTCTTAATAAGCACTGCTGATTTCTGACTTCTTGTCTAAGATTGATCACTCCGGATCCACAGATCATGGTCGTGATGTTATTGATCACGATGTTAAATCGCAGTTACTAACCCAGCATGTAACGAGTAACGTTCGCAAGGAGTTTGCGTATTGCAGGTGCGTCGGCCGTAACGCGCATTGATAGAGTCGGCTGATTAGGATGTTAACACACTTCAGGAAAATGCGAAGGCACATTTAAGAGAAAGAAAACGTTCGGGTGTTTTTCTTTGTTACGCGACTTGCGTAAAAGGTATACTGTGCAACCATAAAATAACAATTGACCCTATCTTTCCGCGCGATATCTCGCTGTAATTACCTGAGATAAGATATACGACTCGCGTAATAGCGCGCAATTACGTTATGATACTCCTGAAACGGAAAATACGGCGCTCATCTGTTTTTCTCAGACTTTTCACGGCGAGAAATCCCGCTTTTAGGACAATTTTCCTTAACTGGACCTCGATTAAGGCAAATTTTACAGGAAACCGGAGAACAATAGATTTCCGTAACGTGAGATGTCCGATTCTATTGCTGTCGATTTCGCAATCGTACTCCGTACTTATATTTTGAAAATAACGAGTAGGAACGACGATATAGCATGCAGAGAACGGAAAGCACAAGCAAAATTGATTCCTCATTTCGATTGCGGCATAGGACGCGACTATTCGTTCCGCCGTTTTCTTCTTCAAACCGTAAATAATTTTTTTTTCTCTTTTCTACAATGTGAAATCCTTTCGATTTATGTCTAATTAATTTATGCAGAACACAATTCCGTTCAACATGCAGTATATTAATTTTGTAACGGCGAAATTCGCCGTTTCTTCACTCGGATCGAGCCTAATTAACTGACGATATATATAGTTTCGTTCTATATATGTATATTAATTTTGCAATAGCGAAATCTGTGTTTCTTTAATCGGCGTTTAGTTCGCAGCGCGCGAGGAAAACCGTGTGATCTGTTTCTTCTGTCAATCGTTTCACTAGACTTGGGATCGTGTTGAAATCTGTTACGCTGAGAAATTGGTGCGCACATGCATATAGAGGTAACAATAGAACTTTTCAGAATTACTATTGCTCCTCATGGATTACTCAGATAATATGTAATATAACGAATAAAGAAATATTTTTGCACATGCAATAACCTCCTTCTATAATTTCTAAAAGAAAAAAATCTTTTTAAAACCTAACAAATGTTTGATAAATGGAATATATTTTCTTACTTTTATATAGACATAGTAAAAATGTTATTAACTTTGACAATAATATGTAAAAAATTATACTAATATTATATTAATTAAATGCTCTATTATTTTATTATGTCGATTGTCATTTAATCTTTTTCTAAAAATGCGTTTTTAATCAAGTTTTAAATCAAGTTTTCTCTTGCGTGTTATATAATTCGTATTTTTATATTCTAACATATACATATAGTAAACAAAAATTGTTCCTCTTTACAGTTTTAATGCAGTTTTAGTAAAATTTTAGTACACTTTAATACAGTTTCTTTGAAGCAAAAATTCTTTAGTTATATTGTGAAATTGTAAACATATTTCGTATAGTAGCTCTGTCTTTCAATTTTTAATACACAGTAGTTCCAGTAATTTTCCCCCGTGCGTCATTCACCCTCGGGTCTAATAAACGCGCGCTTTACGAGCAGCGTTAATTTCGCAACTATTGCTAGTTACTAGAGGTGGTTATAGCCATGAACGCATTTAGTTCTGGGTCACATCGGAGTTCGGAGTACATCTGGCCCCCCCTCTCTCTCTCCCTCTCTCTCCCTTTCTTTCTCTCTCTTGCTTCCTTTGAAAGCACGAACTGCATGGTGCGATTTTTGCGAGCGCAAAATCGTCGTTTCCGAGCGATGGAAGTGAACGCCCCTGCATTTCTTCGTCGTCGGCCGCGCTTTTTCAGACCGATTAGCAATTACCCGTAAAGACTAAGGCCGACGGTCGCCTTTACTCGGTATAAAAGCCGCGGTGTGCGCGATTTGCGCAACTTCAACCAAGCACGATTCGTTGCATTTCTCACAAGTGTATGCGCGGAACAACCCCGCGTGGATGTAGATACGTCGTGCGGTGGAATCGTTGCAAAACCTGGAAAGTTTAACGATTCTCATTATTTTGTAACGTTTCACGTTCGCTGTGTTCGAATCAGATGAACAAGAGAGAAAGAAAACGATAGAGGGAGAGAGAGAGAAAGAGAGATGGACACGTGTTTGTCGATGCAGGCGGGCGCGCGAGAAATATTAATGCAACGCTCACATTGCATCGCGCTGTGATGCCCGAGGGAGATTTCGCGAACGAAACCTTTACACAGTCTTTGAATATTTCAGAGACATGGTATGGACGTATCGGAAAGGGAGAGACGACCATATTTATTTCTCGACAATTCGTATAGAAATATTTTGTTTACGTAACGACACGTAAAATATCGACAAAATGATATGAGTAGAAATAACGCGGTGTAAAAGAATAAATAATAAATAAGTAAAAGTATGTAAGTAATAACACAAAAATATGTCGCCGTGCGTTTTTTTACCAGTATCATGTATAATTTTGATTACGTTATATCGCGTGGTTTCTTATTAGCCAGGTGCAATCTGTGCAATTTGATTAGATAATTGACATATGTGGATAAAATCTTTAAAAAATCGAAAATTCCCCTTCCACTCGCTTATGCACCACTGCACCGCAACCCGAACGCGCTTTCCCCCGCGGAAAACGCATTGCAGCAATTCGTGCATCGCTGCACTCGCTAAACCGATCTCCCGTACATGTACGAAACAGTTTTCGCTTGTAATACATGATACATAATACATTAATCGAATCTATATTCGCTTATCTTCGCTATATCTTCGATGTTAATAGTTCATTATTTGTTTCTTTAATTCACTAAATAAGTATCAGAGTACAGAAATATATAAGACAGTATAAAATTTGAAATTTATGCCATTTCCTGATTATTAAAGTTACAAGCAGAGCCGTTTTCTCATGCGCTCTTTCTGAATAATCCCGCACATGAGTGGTAGAAAAGCAAGTGCAAACTCTTTCCTGCCTCCGCAATAGCGGCAATTATGCGGTAGCAGCTAATTATCTATTCTCGTCTGTTATCTCTTCCTGTGCGCTAAGAGTCAATCGCAGTCGGTTGGCAAGATATAAATAAAATAGATGTCGCGATTTGCGATTAATAGACGCGCGAATCATCGAGTGAATCAATTATCGGCGAGTCACGATTTATCCATCTCATGCGGTATCTCATGGCATTCTCATGGCATCCGGCAATGAAAATCGAGATTGAAACAAATGGATAAACGAGTTAAGGTGATCCTAAAGCCGTGATTCTAGCCGGTTTTTTTCTTAGCACTAATCTTTTAATTGGCTTTTAGAAATGCAAAATTCTTGTTTAGAATTAAAAAACCGAAAAAAACCGGCTAGGATCACGGCTTTAGGATCACCTTAAGCATATTTATTTTTTCGTCAATAACACATTCGTTTATTAAATAAACGAACTCAATATCGCGTTATGTTTTTTGCTCATCCCTCCGATTTCCACGGATGTAATTCGATGCATGGACATTCGAATTCCGCTCATTATTAACCGGCGCATTTACGACGATCTTGTGTAATGTTGCATTGTGTTCCATTTGTAGAGCGGCTGTTCTATTGCGCAGAAAAGTGATTTCGCACGATAACGCGGGTGCGATCGCGCACCAAAACGCGCGAGAATATTCGCGAATAATTGCTGATGAGAAAAAAATCGTTTAGACTCCTTACGTAAGATCGATATTACATAAAGAACTTTCATTGTAAAAAGAAGATCGCGGTATAAGAAACGGAGATTCATTACTTTTAATTGAGCTTAAATCGTTTAATTTAAATTCACAGCAGAAAATATAGAGAAGGTATATGTAGATATCAGAATATATGTTGCATTTTTTATTTATTATGTATATCTCAAGTTTTGGTATATGTATATATATATATATATGTATATATATATATATATATATATCCGTTATTTGTATATTGATTTCTAAACTATAGAGATAAATTGATACACATTTTATATAAATTTAATTTTTATTTTAAAGAAACTAATAACAAAATCCTATTTGTTCTTCACACAAAACTCACTTTATAGCACATAAAATCTCCGAAGGAAGCAGATAATAAAGAGATTATCTTTTACACGTAGATAATGAATGTAGAAAATTATTCAAGGCTTTAGGGATGAAATAAAGGTGATTACAAGCGCTAAAATTAATGAAGCACGGTAATCATCCCGAGCGTGATTTCATTTATGTTCAGAATAATGGTTCAACCAAATGAGGTCATCAGATTATTATATGTATAAGTCTTGATGCGTAGAAAAACTAAATAATTGTCAATAAACTAATATAAACACAGATATGTATTTAAATTAATAACTAATAATAAATCAATATAATATTAAAAATAAATGCAATCATAACTATATAAAGTATAACAAATTAAAAAAATTATTATTATATAAAATCAATCTTGAATGAAGATTTTTTTAATTCCAACTTGTATAATCATATACAGATATTCTGTATTCTTAAGCAGAAAGAACGAGCAGTTATAAAAAAAATCACCAGGTGCGTTCGCTAAATCGTGATCTTGACGATCGACCGGAATGCCAATTGATGACTCTTCGTTTTCATTGCAACGAGCAATGTCGATCAGTTTTTATGTCTGCCAAGCCGAGACAACTGCTCCATATTCCCATCCAAGGATGACCATTAAAAGATCTTTAAACTTCGCTCAAGAATCTCGGGAATCTCACAAACTTTTGCAATCAATTTATAACTAATATAAAAATTAGAATTTTAGAGACAGAAAAGTAGGAAAATATGATTCTATAAAATTTATAACATACTACATATGAACGCTGAAAAGCAGATATCTAACGTAAAAAGTACATTTCTAAATAATCGAAGTAGTTATTAAAAAACACGAATTAAAATATTGATAAGTTAATAGAATTATATGTTTAAATTTCCTTTCTGTTCATGTCTCCAAACGGTATAATTGAATCTTATCAGTGATTCCTCGCGTTCATCCTTCCTCTTTGATCAGGAATAATAATTACTCCGATTCCTCTTCCTCTGTTCTGGCGATCGCCGGCGTCCGCTTCGCCTTCGCGAGCGTAATTAAATGATTAAAGCTTGACCAGGCCGGAGGGCGTAGTCGCCCGCGGGCGGCGT